TTGATGTGTTTTGCCGATGTCAGTAAGCATCCCTTGAGACTTGTAAGACTTGATAGATGGATACGGTTCATCTCTTGTTTTTGATAGAGTTTGATGTGTTTTGCTTTGAAGGAATCTCGGCTAATATCTGTATAGTTTTGGTTTGGCGTGTTTTGTTTTGAAAGACTTCGGCTATATTCATGCGAAACCTTTATTTTTAGTACCATTCACTGAGTATCCAAGCTCACCCTCTCTATATATATGTAGGTGATGAGCAGGACGTCGGCGACACCTAGAATGTGTTTTTGAAAGCTTGTTTTGGATCCATGATTATGTCGGCGTTATTTTGTATTCACGTCGGCACTTCTTGAAAATTATGCTTCTTGGCTTGTACTCACTGTATTTTGTATATGTCGGCTCGAGAAGCCTTTTGATCAAGATGCAACACATATTTTGCTTTTGTTGTATTCAAGTTTGTAAAGATGTATGCCATTACATTGGATCTATGCACTGCTCTTATGGACCACTTGTATTTTGATTTATTGCTTCCGCATTTGAGAGCCCCGTTTATTATACTCTGATCTTGTTAAACTTTTGAAAGTTGGCCTTCGGTAATCCCGGATTACTGGCCATCACGGCACCAAACTACTAGGGGCGGTTTGGGGTCGTGACAATGATATCCTCAATATAAAATAAAATAGCATAACAAGTCTAATAGTTTTAAATTTCGAAAGAAGATATTTGGGTGAGTTTGCTGAGAAGATGGAAAGGAAGGCAAGGAGTGACAGATTTGTTGAAAAGCCGGACATAAACATAGGATTGGAGCTAAGAACATGCTTGATGAGTAAAGTTATGAAATATATTTACTACACCAAACTTGGATGTGGTATTAAATTTTATCAAGCCAACAGAGTTGATTTTTCAACTTTTCCGACAATAAGAGGAAAACCTAAGTACTTGTTATTGCGGGTCTGTGGGATGCAAGCTTAAAGCCTATGCTAATTTGTTAGTATTTAATTTATTTTAGGGAAACAAAGTTGAGGGTTATTGTAATGTTTTACCATATTCTTATTTGTTTTAAGTGTTTTATAAAGCCTCTAAATAGGTTATGCTGCTGTAATATGAGATCACCTGCAAAGATTAATAAATTTTGAAGTAGTAAAAATTCTTCTTCACTCTCATTGCCTATTTTTTTGTTTTTTTCCCTTCTCACTTTTCCCTTCTCTCATATCTTCTATTCTCTCCCTTCTCTTGTCTCCTTTTTGACAATCTTCTCTGTGCTCTCTCCTCTCTCTTATGTTTTACACAATGAAATTATAAGTCATCTCTATAGCATAACATTTGAAAGATAGTGTCTACTGTGTGTTTATGCTTACAGGAGCTTTCATTATGATGTTTTCACAAAACTTCAACCCCATACCTTCTCACCACGATGTTGGACTTGGTTTTGGCTTTTGTCTTGTTGTGAAAGAATATTATTGATGGCTATACTTGCATTGTGGTTTGTTCTGATTCCAACTTGATGTAGCCTCAGTAGAGAATCCAACATTTATTATTATTGGTGATAAAATATTTGGATCCAGGATAAAAGTTTGCAAATTTTGATTTAGTTTAGTAAGAATATCTGCAATTTCTTTCAAATTAATGGCGAAGTCAATGAACTATGGGACTCAAATTGACCCTTACAAGGACAGAATAAAAACAAAACAAAATATTTGAATTTGAATCTGTATATTTCAAAATTTTCTCTCAACTCTCAGTGACAGAACATCTTTGTAGGTTCTTTAGTTTACTTGGTTCTAAAGTAAATTACCTGGTCTCAAAGTAGGAACTCAACTGATCAATTATAAATAAGTATTGCCCAATTAATAGCAACAATGATAGTACAATAAAACCCATTCACCTGACGCTATTTAATGCTTAAATAAAAATTCTTAGCACATCCTTAAAAACCTAATTTAGCAAATGAGTGAGGCTCTCGGCATTTATTTTTCTCTTTTTATTCATTTAAAATTTTTCCAAAGTCTGATCCCTTTGCACTTAAATTAAACTTGGAGTTTGATGTTTTCATTTTTTTCTCCAACAAGAGAGAATAGTTCATTTTGTTGGTCTTGAAACCATAGGCAGATGATATGTCAACTAAATGTGACTGCACGTGTTCTTTTATTGCCCATCATCCCTGTTTCTCTTTTCTTGTTTTCCTTTAGAAAAATGTTTGAGGGCCCGAAATCAAGGGCTAGAATTTGGCTCGAAACGTAAAACGACGTCGTTTTGCGTTTCGATTTTTTTTTTTTTCCTTTTTCTTCCTTTTCTTTCTTTCTTTCTTTTCTTCTTCTTCTTCTTCGTTTCGAGAGAGAAACAGAGGCAGGCGAGAGAAACAGAGGCGAGAGAGAGTCGTCATCGTCGTCGTCGCAGCTCGTCGTCGTTGTCGCAACTCATCGGCCGATCGTCGCAGATCATCGCCGATCACATCGCAGCCCCGCCTCCGCCTCTGCCTCCGCCTCCAGCCCTATTTTTGTAGCCCTCTCCAATTTTGCTTCTCCTCCTCCTTCTTCTTCTTCTTCTTCTTCTTCTTCTTCCTGCTTCTCTTCTTCTTCTTCTTCTTCTTCTTCTTCTTCTTCTTCCTCCTTCTTTCTTCTCAAATTCGAGCCAAATTCGAGCCCCGGTTTTCGGGCTCTGTACCGGGGCTATTTCCTTTAGTCCTGCACTCTTTTGTTTCCGATTACTAGTGTTGGGTGCAAGTTGTAACTATGTAAATTATGTGGGACCAAAAATCTAGAGAGAGGAATGCAAGGCCAAAAATATAGAGAGAGATTTTGAAAGAGAGAGAGAGAGCAGAGAGAAAGAGTAAGATAAAGAGCTATTGCTTTGCTCTGTTTTGGTGTCTTACAATTGAAGAGCTCTTGCCTTAATATAGGCAAGACTGCCAACCCTTTCAACCAATGAGGATGAACCAGGCACACACATTAGTTGCATGTACTGACACAGTTCCGAAGCAACAAGTTGAGCAAGTTGTGAAAATTAATTACAAATTGACCCAAAATAAAACACAGATTACAAATTAATTATTTCATTTTAACAACTAGTTCTAAATTGTTTCTTATTTAGTGAGTGGATTTGAATCATGGTGATAAAGCCAAATCAAACTGAATTATTAGATTGATGAGTTTTGGGACCTTTGGGTTGGCTTGATGTTCATCTTCTATTGACTATATATATATATATATTTATTTATTTGCACTAAAAAAATGTGCTTCTAAAGCTTACGACACTGAATATTCGTAGCGCAATTTTGGGTCCTGAATCTGTGAGCAATTTAAACTGCTCATGTAAAAACCCAGTTTACACTGCCATGGTAGTTGGTTTGGGAGGCACTCCTCAATGAGTAGTAATGAGAAGATGCTTGACCCTCAGCTAACTGACATTTTTCTTTCACTCTTACAGTAAAATTTCTTTGTAACTGTACGGGGAAGAAATAATTCTCCTTGTATAATCCTGTTGACTAAGTCCACGCTCCTCTGTACGACGTCGCTTTGTTACCTGAAAACACAAACGTGAGCTAGCTGGCGGGTGTGTGCCGGAAACCTCTCCGATGCCTAAGTCAGAAAACTTGACAAATAGACAAAGCTCAATGTGTTCAGAAAGCAAAATTGTATGTTATGTTATGTTACCTCCTCCAAGGTGATGCTTGTGAGCTTTTATAGGTTTCGAGTGGCACAATCCTAGTAGGACTTTTATTTCTCCATGCAGAGTCCTTCTAGGATTCATACTCCTAAAAGATAATGCTTATCCTTTTACACCCCCCACTGCTTAAACCAAGTGGGATGGTTTTCACCATGACCGAACTACCATCCGACCGAGATAAACCTGGCTATGCTGAGCCACAAAGTAAGTCGAACTATCCTTAGTTCGGCCCTTCCGCTTATATTTCCTTATCTTGGTTCTCACTTGTTCAACTCATGGTGTGCTTGGACCGAACCAACGACTTTGACCGGTATAACTCCAAAACCGGTATACCTCTAAAGCCGGTATAAATTCAAGAACGATGTACCTTCAACCTTGGAGATTTTATATTTCATGAGAGATGCCTATGCACATTTTCATAAAACGGTATGCATTGCATATTTTGTTATCAAGTAAAAAGTTAAAACAGAAAAAGTTCAACTTTAACTACTACTTGTTTTTTTACTTTTGCTTCTTTTGCTGCAGCTTGAGCCTAAAATTCAGAACTTGACTACAACTGAGGGTCAATTGTTTGCTTTATTTTCCAATTACTTGGCCGTTTTTGTAGAGCTCACACATGCAATCGATGAAATAGCAGGTGCAAAATAAATAAATAGATAAAATAAAATAAAATAATGAAAAAAAAAACATGAATTTAGCGAACATTTCTTGTTTATGCTGTTACATATGTTTGTTTTGCTAAAAGAATCTGTTCAATTTGCAGAGATTTATACAAAATCTACATTTGATTTCATTGATGCAAAAGACAAGAAGATGTAAGTTTTGTACATTTTAGTTTAATTATAGATCTCCATTAGCCATTTATTATATACTAAACTGATATCTCATATTTAATTTCCAATCAATGTCTTTTTATGATTTTTCTTAAATAGCTCTTAGTTGTTTCTTTCATGAAATTTCCTCCATCTAGATAATGAAATTCGGATTGATTAAGTTCTTGGTTTCATATGCATGCATATAAATTATAATGTCAAATTTAAATGACTGATTCACAATGAGTCAATAAAAAGTGGACATGATACTATTGTTTGATGTATCTTATGAATTGTTAGTGCTCTTTTTGCGAACTGATTGAAGACGTTAGTTGTTAGTTGAAGCCAAACAATAATTTGAGTACTTGTTACACTACTGTTGGTTGTGTGTCTTTTATTCTCTGGGAGCCACGCAGTTATTTGGACTAGATTGTAGAGCTTGGTATCTACTAAGAATCCAATATGTATAGGGTTCTATATATAAATTGTATGGTATTAAAGTTCGGCTTTTGGAAGGGTGTTAGATAGCTTTATAAACATTGTTGGGCCCATTTTCTAATAGCTTAGGCTTTCGAAAAAATTGGTAAGTTAACAGTTCTGGCCGACCTAGGTGCAATCATATGCATTATACAGTTATACTCCACTGGGGAGGAATGGTACTAGCTTGGGGAGGAAGAGCATCTCCGAGTCTAGCAAAATGTGTTCGGACCAAAGCTCATATTTGACCTCCATAAGAGGCAATGTATCCCCTCAAAATCTCAATGTAAATTATCATGCTTCATCTTGTTATAACAATAGTGTTTGTGTGTCTGTGCTTTTGTTCATGTGTTTTGATGAGCATAAAAGGAAATAAATTATCCATTATATGGATCATGTGATGAGAGAGAAGTTCAAATTTTTACTTGTCTATTGGTAATTAAAACATCATTTTGATTGTTTTTGGGGAGGGTGGGTTGGCCTAATGGTAATTCTAGCCATCAGCATCCTTGGTGGTCCAGACTTGAGTCTTAGAAATGGGGATAAGCTTTGTACATCCTGCCCTCCTCGAATCCCACTCTAGCAGGAGCCTTATGCAGTGGTCCCCTTTTTATTTGATTTGGGCTTGCAACACTAATTCATTATGTTATATGATACACTGTCATTATTATGAGTAGGCAGTTTATTATTTTAAGTCTAACATGATATTTAATAAATGCAGGTGATGTCATATTTGAGGGAAATGATTCTTCAACGTTACAAGCTTGCTTAGTTTGAGTTTTTTTAATGCTTGAGACTATGTATATGGAGAGCAGATAATTATATGTGTTATAAACAAATATAGGATTAAGTGAAGGATGAAGTTGACACAATAGAAGTGACTAGATTGATGAATGTCTTGATAATTTAATGTCAAGAATGGTTGAGAGTTGGCTTTTTATTACACTAGAACCTGTTAGAGATCTTACCAAGGAATATGTGGGTGCCATTTACTAATATCTAGCTACTTGACTGTAGTTGAATATTTGAAACTGTCATTTTGGAATTTTGCTAGCACACATTGCATGTTTCTTATTGGTTAAAAATGTAAGTTTAGAGAGAGAACCAATATTGCATTAACTCTCATCATCATATTTACAAACCCTAATCACATTAGGAAAGTTCTAAATTAAATTACAAACGGAAGATTCCAAAACTACAATCCGTTCACACCCCAGGCAAACTCGTGACGTGAGCTCGGTAAACATTGAGAATTTGTCAAGTAAGAACCGAAATTGAGTGGAGGTATGAGTCTTTGTGAAGAAGTTTTGCAAGTTGTGAAGAGAAAGGAACAAGAAGCAAAGCAATAGTGCTTAACTGAAGATGCTGATGAATAATAGGCAATCAATCTCAATGTGCCTTTTGTGCTTATGAAAACAGAATTATGTGTACTCTGAATGACACTCATGATTATCAAAATAGAGAGGAGTAGGAGAATTATGTGCAATCTGAATGAAACTCATGGCTATCACAATAGAGAGGTGTAAGAGAAGAGAGACTCCCAAATTAGAAAGAAACCAATAAAGCCAAACAATCCCAGTGATATCATGAGCCATAGTACGATATTTGGCCTTAGTAGTTGATTGAGAAACAATATAACATTTTTGCTCTTTTAGGAAATAAAGGCATGTTTGATTGACAGGATTAGAGTATGAGATTGAGATTATTAATCTGTAAGCCCAATAATCTTGTATTTGTTTTGAAATTTTATTTCATGATTATTAATCTAATGGATAATTAATCCAACAA